AAAAAATGTGGAGTTGGGGTTACTGTTTTTAAATGCGAAAATTGGGGATTTTTAAATCGGAGAGAACCAGGATCCCTGGTCTTGAGTACAGGTCTAAGCAACAGCTTTTCTTTTCAAGCAAGACCAAAAGCTTTTTGAGGACATTTCTACCTCCCTTATGTTCATTGAAGCGGTCTCAGTACCATGAAATCAATGCTGGGTTCAGTAAGTAACTACTTATAAAAGATTGGGGTTTTTTGTCGTGTATCAAACACCTCTAAAAGAAGAGCACGAAGTAGATCATCAGCTCTTGTACAGCACACGGCTCACTTCCCAAGAGGACTTTTCCTCCAGTCTGTTTCATTTCAGACGTGCCCTTTCCTTGAAAGATGTCTTCTGATTCCTGCCATTAAGAAATATTCTGGGGCAAGGAAGACTTCATATTCCCTGCCAAAAAGTTACAAACCTGGGAAGTATGAAGCTGTAAGTATTGGTTCATGAACGCGGAGTGCAGACTGAATTCATTTCTTTTTTTTAAATCTTAGGGAGTCTTTTGCCTAAGTGGCAAAAAACACTGTTGCTACCACTCATCTGAACCAACTTCTTTTTTGTAATGAAATTCTGAAAAATATCTTTTCCTGCATAGAACTGACTAGGCCATGCCCTTCCATCTTGGGACTACCATTTTTATGAGTTTCCATGAATACACACAATACCTAGCCCAGCAAACCCTAAAATACTACTCTAAGACAAATGATGGCTACATACCATTGATTCTCAGCTAGTCACAAGACAAACCCAGAGATTTCAAAGAGGAATTGGTAGCGTCAAACACATTCTGCCCTGCTGTAGTCTTTCTAAATTATTTGCAAGAGAAAAATTGCTCTATTATTTTTCGGAGAGAGAGAGACAGAGAGACAGAGAACTAAGAGCCTCCGTTTTCCAAAAGGTTGAATCTCAAAGGTTGAAAGTCACTGATTTATACCTTCCCCCTCTTTCATGACTCTTATTAGACCCTACTTAGCTTTTCACTGAAGACATTTCTTCATCTTCTTGTGTTTGATTGTCCCATAGCCATCTGCTAAGCTTAGATCATCAGCTTTCGGAGCAGGGATGAGCTTTATAAAACACTAATGTAAAAAAGCATGCTAGACACAAGAATCTTTACATCCCATTTGGGGGGGAAATATCCTCTACAGAGCTGTGGAACTAGGGATTGCAAGCATGTCACCTCTTGGAATGATTTATCTCCACCAACTGTAATGGGATTTCTTTGGATGCATGCTGGTGTGAAGAGATAATTAACTCTTAGTTGATTTACTATTCAGTCACGCTCATTTGTTCAGCTATGTTTTATATTAGATCCCTCACGCTTTGGAGCACAGATCCCATCTGTGTGTGTGTTCATACTAAGCCCAGGTGGAATAACACCTGAATCTTAAGTAGAAAACTCTGTGTAGCCACAATACAAATACAGATGACTGACTTTACATCCAATGGAGAAAGATTTGTAAACAGGTTCTTTTGTTTCCAACAAAAAAAAAAATGCACATAACCCTTACCATTCATACTCATTTTAAAAAGCAAATCAGCCCTAGTCTTCTGTTGAGAACAGCAGATGTAGAGACCAAAGGCCTCTAATTTTGATCATTAGATTAGGTGATTAGTTCATTGCAACTTCATCCCAAACACCTCTAAGCTCATCATCAGGCCATTCAGGGGGACCGCTAAATTGGTTAGACGGCAGCCCAGAATCTCCACTGATACGGACAATGTGCAATCATTTACATCAGTGTAAAGCGGAGTTAAGATTCAACCTCACTGGAACGGGAGCATTCAACAAACTGCAGGGCCACAGAGATTTTAGCCTAACGTCCATGTCAAAATTTCTGGATAACCAGAAGGGTTTCATTTTGCAGTCTTCAAACTATGCAAAGGGTTTGTCCATGTTGCCGCATAGAGATAGACACCAACTGCTCTGTAGGCCAGTAGGTAGAACAAAGCTCTCAACCACCATTCAGTTCCTTTCCTTTTTTTGAGGGCTGGTTTTATTACTATGAAGCAAACCCCCCACCCCCAAAAACCACAACCCCCCCCCAACTCTTTACTTTAAATAAAGTACTGAACAATGTGCAACAGAACTCTATCTACCAGCCAGGAACGGGAAAGGCATACTTCCCCAGCCATTTTATAAGAGCTCCTGGAGAAAGTTGCTTCCAGATCCTACCTTAGCTTATCTTTTTCCTCGGCTCATCCAGGTGCATTCAGCTACGAGTTGGTCGAATGACTCTTCATCCGTTCTGTAGCCTACAACTGCAACACCCAGCAACGAATCCTTGTTAGGAAGTCAAGGCTTTGAATGAGGCGTTGTGAAGTGTGCAAGTACCCAAAAGCTTCAGTATCCTTTAGGCAGCGTGGAACTGCCCTGACCCTATTATACCGAGCGCCCATACGCAGTCACACTCGCACTCTGTAGAGCAACACACTCGCAGGCTGAAATATTACAGATCAAGTTTTGGGCTAGCGTGATTAAGGGCCAAGTCATGCACACACATCAGTGAAAGTAAGACTTATAATGGCAAAGCCAACAAGAAAGACCACAATGGCAGATTTCTTTTAAAGTCGCAATGCTTTTAATCCAGACGATCTGCACTGTTCAACAAGTCTAGAAGCAAAATGTACAGCCCTTCCGTCTCTGTTTT